TTCGGGCCTGCCCGGGCCGGGGCGGGAGAGCGGGCAGAGGGGGGAGCTGCGTGTGGGGTAAGCGGGAGGCGGCCGCAGCCTGAGCCTTGCAAGGGTGGAGGAGGTCGGGAGGGGAAGGAGCCGTCCCCCAGGCGCTGGAGGTGCGGGGGAAAGCTCGTCGATAGCTCTGCTGCTGCCAGTTCACCCCCAGTCCTGCTGGAGACCTGCGCTGCTCGGAACGCTTCATGTCATGCTGGACAAAACCCTGGAAACCGTACGATAGGATCACCCTGCTTTGGCCCAAGGGACGGTGCCTGATGACACAGGGAGAAATTCATCCTTCTAGCTGCAAAGAGCCGGATACCGATGGTCTTTGTCTGCCTCTCCGGCAGAAATGTGCTGTGCCTTCCTAGCTGGGTTGCTAACTGCATCCTCCACGTCCTGCCAACTGCCCTCTCTCCGAGAGACTGTGACGTCTCTTACGGACTTGGGTGGTTAGGCCCAAATCCGGGAAGACTCTTAATGTCTTGTGTCTGTTGACTGGAGTTAAGCACCTAGATGTGTTTGTCTGTTTATTTTAGTTCTCTGGCCAATGTCATCTAGTGATTACAGGAGGTAATAAAGGAGTAAAATTCCTGGTTTGTTCCAGTTTTGCCTCTTAGATGTTTGGCAAGTCATGTAGGTTGCCTGAGGGAAGGGATAATAAGTTTGTTTGATGGTGGCCATTTATTTATAAAGTGCTGTGAATCCAGGTTATCCACTTTGGACTGCACATCTGACATTTCTTCAGGGTTCTCTCCTGTCCTTGTTTTCTCTGCTATGTGCTTACCAACAAGTGGGTATCCTGGTTTACTTAATAATATGGGTTGAGCACTCTGAGGTGGTGAGAGTGTGATATTACTCTTTTCTGCCTTGGAGCATATGAATTTTGTTTGAGCAGTGGCTTTTGGTACTGTTTTACTGTTAGGACTTCTGCTCTTCTAAGGTTGTTTCACCCCAGTTCCTGAAGATAGGTCAATTGGGGGTTCTCATGCTTCATACCATATTATCTTATGATAGCATATATAAGCTCTTCCTAATGCATTAATTCACCCATTGAAATGGGCTTCATGATGTCAGTTCTCTTTCTTTCAGTCCATTATTTCTACAGCATGTGATGGACTTTTCTTTATTCCTTATCGGTCATAATGATAGTTGTAATGATTGCTTCATCCCGTGTTTTCAGGTGAGAGTTTGAAAAAACATATTTCCAGTTGTGCAATGGGAGGCAAGCACTACTTATTAATTTGAGCTAAGCTTCTTTTCCTACTTAACAGCTGAAATCAATGGTATTTGTAATTTCTGTGGGAAGGCATGGGAGGAGACTTAGTAGCTTTTAAGTGGGTAGTAGCAATGAGGAAGGTGAGCATGCTGGAACATCTGCACTATTTCCACCTTAAAGCTTTTTTCCTGTGGTTGTCTTGGAATATCTTTTGAATGTCATAACTGTTTCTGACTACACCTTGTGAATACCTCTCCTTAGAATGTTCTGTGTAATTAGTGCATATTTTGCGATCTCCTCTTATTTCTTAACAAGCTTTGGTTTTAAAACAAAGAACTATGCTTCTGATGTATAGTGAGAGTAGGCCAGTTTTTCCGGTATAATGGCGATGGGAAACATATTATTATCTCAAGGTTAGAACTTTAACTTCTGTTACTTGTGGAGAAGTGTGAGTTGGATGGACTTTGCCATTCTATGAGAACAAAGAGCACGGCCTTGAAGCTGTTGCAACACTAAGCTTTTGGTATTCCTATAGCAGGTTGGAACCGTAATCGTGGGGCAGCACGTTGCTGGGTTTGGTGCTGCACTGGCCAGGTGGACCCAGGAGACTGTAAGGCGTTATAAGTGAGGCAGGCTGTTGTTCAGTGTATTTCAAACTCAGAAAAATATTCTTCTCTCTTACAAGGCTCAGAATTAGCCTCTGTGATTCGCCTTGTATGGGCAGTGTATTCTCACTGAATGGCCAAGGCAGCCGTATTGCGACCTGAATTGGTTCCAGTTAGAGACTGTTAACGGCTGTGAAAAGCAGAAGTCTCAGGAGCACGTTTCAGCTACTGTTTTCCATGGGGTTTGTTAGGTGTTTCTGTTCATTCCCTTTCATCTCTGCTGTACCTCCTTTTAGAGAAGGAAGCACTCTGGATATAATGGCTGGGCAGGTTCAAGCATCTTCTTGTGGGGAAACTGCCTCCCGGCTCTTACAAGATAGGATAAAGGCAAAGTTCCTACCAAATCTGCACTTTTCCACCAGCTGCTGGAGGAATCGGAGGTGTCAATTCTTAAGGCTGTGCTTACACTCTTATTTTTCTAACTCTTTGTTCTTCCCTAGTGAAATTTTAGCAGTCCTTTTTTTGTGCAGGATGTGTTACCATCTTGTGACAATACCTGTGACCTTTCTTTCCTCTGTGCCTTTTGGAAGCACAGGGAGGCTGACGGCGGAGTGCTTGACTGCCACCAGAAGGCACAATGCAGTCTGAGGGCTGAGACAAACATCTTGTCAGATAGTATGCATGTGGATTTCTGTATAGCCCTCTGGAACTGAGGATGTGAAAGACACAGTGTCTGTTTAGTCACCTGAATATTAAGTTTACGGTCTTTTTTCCAGTGTTGTGTAGCCCCTCTCTCCAAAGCCTTTCTCTCTGCTCGCATCAGTCTTTCCAAGTCATCCCTTTTGCTGAAAGAGCTGCTTGGGCCTACGTGACGTGCCCTCCCCGTGACGTACGTTATTGTGGCACTGCTCGGTGCTGTGGTAGTACTTCTCGCTGAATCCCTGTTTGAGAGAGGGCATGCAGTACAGTGTATCGTAATGCTGTCTCATTCAAAATCCAGATATAGTTGAGCTGGGCGTTTGGGAAACTGAAGTTAGCGTAGCAGCACAGCAGTAACACTGAGGAGGTCTCCTGTGATCTCCTCAGGTCACCCTCTCAGCAGCGTATTTCATCCTCTCTGATAACCTTGAAGTGATTTTCTCAGCAGCTGGTTGAGCGTCGTCCCGGTCAGCAGAGGAGCAGTCTCATTCTGTAAACTGTGATCTGTACCCCAGGCTTGCTGCCTCCTGCCAGTGTAAGGAGCACAGAACTGATCTGTGATCTGCATTGTGGCATGAGATGCTACACTGATAATGTTCACATTCCCACTTATTTCAATTTACTTTCTTTTATTTAAATCTTTTTTTTTTTTTTGAAGTTTCAGTAGGAGATCGCTGCAAAGATTTGAACAACCTGAATTTTGTCTTTCCTACCATCTTCCGTGCCTTTTCTTCTATATATTTTGTAACGACTCTACTGTATTATTATAGCACCTGATTCTACTGCTGGATCTGCACAGACAACCATCAATATTCATGTTTCACCTGAGAAAATCCACCAGGGAGAACAGTTTAATGTATATGTGGTCTTAACGGCAGGGACAGAACTTCTAGTAACCTCAGAAGAAAACACGCACCACCCCTAAAACTCGTGTTCCAACAATATGAAATCATTCTTTCCTAAAAGATGTCCCAAAGTCTTTTTGGAAAAGTGGAAATTTTAACTCTGAATTGTAAGATGACTTTTTTGAAATGGGATTTGGCTAGGAATTGGGAAATAGGTCTGGTGTACAGAGGCATAACCCACAAAGTGGAAACCTGTGGTCTTTAACTGAATTACTTTTCCTTTGAGGGATTAGACCATTTTAGTTAGAAAAACATTTTTAGTATGGGAATAAATGCACTTATATCAAAGTAACCCATTATAGCTAAATCTATGGAGATTTTGAACGTCTTTCAGATGTGTCCTAATTTATTTTAATTGAATGCTTCCCATGAGTGTTGAAAGACTGGAAAAAATCAAGCAGTTAATCTTTCTATTTTCTGTCGTCTTTAGGAAAGTTATTAACCTTCAAGTTAGGGACTGTGTCAGTTTTGTATCACATGATGAACGGTATTGTCATACTCTGTAGGGACAGAAGGTTTGGATGAGCAGTCGCCTTGGTCTTGAATGTCTACAGAGCTGAGGACGTAGTTGTCTGTTCCGCTGGCTTCAAATACGGAAGAAGTAGTGAAGAGCAACACAGTTGTACGGAGCTGAAAGGGTATGTAATGTTTCACTTCAAGACTGATCTCATCCTTTACCTAAGTGTGTTCATGTGCCAGGCAGTCTTTGACTTTCGAGGCAAAGCACTCTCCAAACTGTTACTTTGCCAAGAAAGGTTAACTTATTCCCTGTGTAAATCGTTGCCTCTGTAGAGCATTAAGTGACTGAAACAAAACCGTATCACAGCTGTGTAACGCTGTCTGGTTTAGTGCAATTACTTATCCACCTGTGAAAGTCTGGGTTTTTAATCTTTTGTTCTCTTTATTGTAATTGAAAAACAGTGATGTAGATAAAGGAGAAAGAATGGTTATCAGAAAAATTGAGGAGAAAGAAGGAGCGGGATACTGGCAGGATTGGAGCATGTGGGTTAAAATGCAAGAAATGACAAAAGACTGAAAACGGTGGCTGGGAGAAAACATCAGCAAAAAGGTCTAAGCTATAAATCTAGTTCTAGCAGCTGTGTGACAAGTAACTTTGATGGAGATGAGAGTTGGGATTCCGGGGTCTCTTTAAGTAAGAAGTGGTAAGAGTTAGTGATTCAAACAATGTCTGGGAAAGCAGTGATATCATTAAAATAGTTTTAACAGCTTCCTTGTTGTTCCAGCACATTGGAAAGGAGTCCTCAAAAAAATCCTTAGTACGGAACGTGAGTCTCCATTCTCCTCCTCCAAGTGAGAGTGCAAGCACCCAACTGCCTTGTCTTAAACTGTTTCCTTTTACAATTGGGTGCTTCAGCATCCTCCCCAGAGCTTCAGAAAGAACAGACTTTTGTTCTTTCCTCTGATTACGGAGTGCAGAGATTGCAGTGCCTAATTCTGTTGTTCTCATGCTCCGATAGCTTGTTACGCTTTGTCTCACTTCACATGCTGTGAAGTGCCAGTCACAGTTACCATAAGCCCTGTTTGTTGACCAGTTTACATTTTGACTAGCAATAATTGTCTTTTTATACTTAATGTTATGGATTGCACTAAAGCTGAATAGTGTATTGTGGGCTATTTGTTCAGCCCTACAAAGAAGTTCTTGTGTGAGCACAGCTCTAACAAATGAGCTAAGCAACGCTGATACAAAAACTGTTCAAAGTTGTTTTTCTCACTCTTTTAAATAGTTTATTTTTATGTTTGCTGGTAACTGCTCAATGTATTAGGCAAATTTATTTTTAGATATGGACTCTTGTGTCTTTTTCAGCATTCATAAGAAGGGAAGTCCTGTTTAGCTCACCACAGGAAATTAAATTCCATCTGCTATCATGCATTTGGTGTAGACTTGAGAATGTGGAGTCAGTTAGTCCATTTTGGGTCAGTCTCCCACTCCCATTAATCTCCATGGGGAGACATTAGTACGGGACTAGTGATTCTAATAGCCATCAAACAGAGCAAGAGATCGGAGCGCTGAGCTTTCTGGATGCACATCCTCCAGTTCCCTAGGTGAAGATGCTTTGAGTATAATTTGACTTTGGTAAACCAGGGAGTTTTTTCTGAAACCAGTAAGGGTTTGGTTTCTGAATTGCAGCCTGTTTGGGCTTGCCATATGATAGGTGTTAAATCCTAGTCAACTGTATTCTTAAAGACAAGTTTTTAGAGCTTTTTTTGCAGAATTGTTGAACTTTAAGACCTTCTTAACAAGTACTTGCCCCACAGAAGCGTGCAAGGGGGTTATTTATCTGCTTTGCTGGAAACGTTGACTTGTGTACTTGAGGTAGGGTTACGCAAAGCTAATCCCAGATTAGTGCCTTTCCAAGCAGGCAGGGTAAAACTGGCTCTGTTAGTTAAGCTTGTGAGAGCTGTAGTATGTACATAATAATTCACCTGAGATTCCTAGAGATTGATGATTTTTATGTACCAGTAAGATGTTTAATGGACTGCAGTGGCAGTCAGTGCATGGAGACGGAGCGTAGTGCACAGCCCGGATTTTAGCATCAAACGTGGAGAGCTGTTTATATTACAGTAAATTAAGTTTCTTGAAATGTAATTAAGCTGATCAGAGACCAAAGCGATTGAGACTACAATTTTGAAGGCTGGATTTGCATGAGGAAAAAAGGTGAATTTCAAAATGAGGAACATGTAGCTTCCACTTAAGTTTGTTTTGGTTTCTTTTAATGTTTGTTATATTTAAGACAACAAAATGTGACTGAAGTTCCCTAAACCAGAATGTTTTGGGTTTTTTTAGCGTGGCAGTGTGCAGAACAGCTCTGATGGCTTTTGCTTCCTAAGCAGCTTTCTGTGAACACCAGGCGTTCTCACTGCGGATGCCCAATTTAAATATTCCCCTTTGCAATTTGAGCTTGGTGTGTGCAAATGGGTGTGTGTAACACGTGTGTGGGTGTGATATACATATGTATGTGTGTATATAAGCTCATACTGTATATGTATATAAATATGTATTTTTCTATATATAAAAAATAAAAGCACCAGGAGCAAGTGCAGTCAGTAGAAACAAAACACCAGCTACGGGGACTTACTGTCCTAATGAAATTAGGAGATGGCTAAACATTTGATCCTTGTATCACCGTAGCAACTGACCGGTTATCCTCAATTAAGTACTGGTGTAACTCCCCTGACTTCCAGAGTGTCAGGCTGCTATAAAACTGATCTGAGGAGAGAAGGAGGTTCGCATTTCTCTGGTGTTTGACTAGCAGTTCAGAGCAAACCTCTGATTGCAAGCGACTGCAGAATGATGCTGTAGAGCTCCTACTGCAGCAGGTCACTCCTCTGTTGTCCTTGGCTGACTATAGAGCCCTTCAGCATTTTTCAGAAGCAAACTTTTGCAAGGCTGTTTTATTAATTTTCTTGGCGCTTTGGGTATTCTTGGGCCCCAAGTTTCAGTGAATAAAAACTGTAACATGCAAGAGATTAGTTTCTGCTAGCTTGTTTAACTAGACAGATTCCTATTTCGGCATGTTTCATTTCAGGAAGGAGGTGCTGGAGGAAGGGCTCCTTCCTAAGACCTTGATACTTTTGACTGTTGGGTTTTAAGTAAAACCCCTTTAATGATCACATTCTAGCTAGCAATTTTATCTGTATTAAAGTAATGCACAAGGCTTGTACCTGTTTAGAAGAAGATCTGTCTAAAACTGACTTGTGAAACCCTGGAAATATTAAACAGAGTATCTGAAATGTTTCAACATTTCATTAAAAGAATGGGCAAAATTATTGCAGTCTGAATCAAAAGGGGTAATCTCACTCTTGTTTCCCAAAACTGAGTTGCTGCTTGGCTTTTAAGCCTGAAATATATCAAAGGGGAAGTATTTTTTCTTTAAAACTTTAATTTCCTCCACCAGACAGTTTTATATAACCTGTCATTTTAATATTGCACTACTTTTCTTTCCAACAAAAGCAGCATATCAAAAACTGTAAATCATGTTTGCTTACAGGGACAAATGTAATCCAAATAATATGCTTTAGTTTTGTGGGATTCTTTCCAAAATAAAATTCCAGAAACTGTTTTAAGATTCGAGAGAGGATTTTTAAAGCAACGAGTCTGACCGGCTACTTTCTTTGTGTTTGATTGCATAAGAATTGTCAGCTTTTCAGTTTGTTTGGGTTTTTTAAGGGAAAAAAAAAAAGCAGCTCTTGCAACATTCTGATTTATGCTGGTTTCCAATTATTGCACTATTTACTCTCCTGGATAAGGAAAACCACAGCTGTTCTTTTGCCCTTTTTAAAACTGATCTCACTAGAGAGAGGCTAAACCAGTAGACAGAATGTACACTTTTCAAAAAAGCTTTCCATCAGAGAGCTCTTTTCCTTTGAAGACTTTACCTTTTCCGGTTACAGATACTGGACTGTGCAAAACATAGATGCAGCTCTGTATCTTAGTTACCATATTGAGGGCTATTTTTTTAGGCTATGAGATTTTTGAGGCCTACTTGCATACTAACTACCTGGAAGCTTAGTGCCAGAACAGTTGCTTTCTAATACGCGAATCAAATATTAAGCGCTTCTTTCTCAGGATTGAACTGAGGTTTGTGTGAAGGTCTGCTGCTTCTGGAGCCCAAACAGTGGGCTGATTAGTAGAAGGGATTGTTTAACAAGCTTCTGTTCAGTTGTTGCAAGTGAGGGAGTTATGTCATTTAAGTGAAAAATACAGATTTATGTAGGTGAAAGTGTTTTAATAGTTGTCATCGTGCGAATTGACTCACCTTCTCCTTTTCAATGGTGTAATGAAGGATAACTGTGATTTGGATTTTTGAGAACTGCTGGATGTTTGCCTGTATCCTTTGACAATGGAGTCTTCAGAACCAGAAATGGAGACGTTATGCTTTTTGGTTTTGTTCTGCTATTAGATCCCCATACGTGACTGATCTATGAAATGGCAGAGAATGGAACAGATTGTGACCAGAGACGCATAGGTATGATCAAAGAACAGCACAATGGAAACTTTACAGGTAGGTGGAAAATGATTTAATGTTCTCGCCTGGTCAGCTTGGTGTGTAAAATGGCCAGCACAAGACTCAAAAGGAATTTATGTTGGTGCACTTTATGCCCGGATAATGCAAAGGGCCTCGACGCCTGAATCAATCTTGGAAACTTCAGTCATCTCTAAATGTGAAGTCTTGAGGATTTATGTGTTGTAAAGCCACAGAATAGTTATATGCTGTGTATTTCCATTCAGTTTTCTCTTATCCTCTTTTCTTCTTCTGAAGTTCTTATTCTGTAGCTCATTTGCATGTGACCCCTGTAAAGCTGACTTGGGTACCAGCAGGGGCTGCGACAGGACTGAGCTAAAAAACTACACTGTGCTGGCAAATAAGTGGCTGTAGAAGTCAGGCTGCACAGCCCCACCCTTTGGCACTGAGAAGTTAGTGCTTGGTAATAAAAATCTGGTTTACTCTGGGAGAAATCCAGTTATTAGCCTCCCAATTTCTAGCTTTTCTGTTGACATTTAGCGTCACTAAAATTAATCTGTTTCAATGATAAATTACTAACAAACCAGTTAACTACTTCATCTCCTGCCTTGCTTGTTTTTCCTACTGGTATGTCTGAAGTAGGCTTGGATTGATGTTTAGGACTCATGAAAACTAACCTGAGAACGTTTCATGAAGAGTCTTGTGTCACTGAATTATCTGTGCTGTGTAGTACAGCATAGAAACTATAACCCTTTTAGTTTGTTTCCTGTCAGCTTTGAATGTGCCAGTTCCATATTTAATTAAGTTTTGTAACCAAGTGATTTCTCAAGCCGTACACAGTCTTACACCATTGTCTTTTATGACCTTTACTAAAAACAAATAAAAACCAAGGTTGAAGCATTTTTATTAGACATACTAAGTGAAAAATTAGAGAACAGAGATTCTGGATACAATGAACGCGGCAAGATTTAAAGAGGAACTGTGTGTATGGAACAAATCAAAACCTTTTACTTAAAGACTTTAACTGTTCTGCAACTGAGGGAATGTGGATGCCATCCAGTATTTGCCACTGTAGGATTTCTGTTAGTTCGTCTAAAGCAACTGATGCTTACAGCTAAAGAATGCAAAATTAAATGGGCTGTGTGACTAATGAGGTATGCCATTTCTATGGAAATATTAGCATCTGATAAGGCAGCATGTTTCAGTTACTGGAATAAGACTGAAATAATACATCTTGATTTACAATATGCTGGGGATTCAGATTAGATTAATATTTTAAATTAAACGGGTTTTTACAAATTTAAAATTTATGAATATTATTGCAGTGCTTTAAATGTATACAAACCAGAATATGTATGTTTTGACTTTGTGTAGTAAGTGATGTTTAAACAAATTTGGTGTCTGTTTGGATACAAGAGTTATTTTTGTTTGTTTTTTCCATTGTTTTGTGATTTTTTTTTTTCTCCTCTTTCAGAACTCAATTTCTTTAAATGCTTAAAAATTATTGCCGCTCATTAGCTTGACAACCTTTGAACAAGCCATTCTCATCCAAAAAATAGTGAGGGTTTTTGTTAACCTTGACTGCAAAATCACACCTTTATTAGAACAACCTTTCTTCCGTGCTTGTATGGTGGTGTTACAGCAGTGTTGAGCTCTGCGTTATAACCAAGTCACTGCAGTTAAAAGCAACCAGATATGCGGTGCCAGTCCAGCAAAGGACTGGGATACAAAAGCAGGTCCTTTCCATGGGAGCGCTTCCTGTCTGCTGGGCTCATTTTGGAGGAGCTGAACAGCGTGGCAAGGCTTACCACGGCCTAAGGATCCTGACTGGGAGGGTAGATGCTATTATCCAGTTACACAGTGACTGAAGTGTATAAAGAGCACGCGTAATTCGATCTAGTTCGATTGGAGAAGTCTGAGAATAGCTTTGGAAGAGAACCAAATTCAAAAGTTCAAAGTGAAATGTGGTCTCTGTAGTGGGTGATAGAGTCGCGTTTGACCTAATATATTAGCTGGTTTGTAACTAGTGGTGCAGTACCTTGTGTAAAGGCTAATAGATATGCCAGGCTTTTTGCATCCTGGGCCAATTAGATTCCTGAATGGTTGTCAGCTCCGTGGAGGGAAAAAAAGCCACCTTACTTCCTTTGCTGGAGGTCACCTTATTTCTGATGCCCTTAAAGCAAATGCTTTGTGAAAAGATGACTAGGAGCCCACGTTAACTTCCTAACAAAGCCCAAAAAAAAGGCAGTACGTTTTGGGGGAGGAGGGAATCTGAACCATCAGCCTGTGCTTTTACATTTCTGTTGCTTTTCATTTGCAGATTCCTCTTTGCTGAGTGAACGGAAGCGAAGGGACCGAGAAGAGAGGTTGAATATTGTACTATGGAGAAAACCGCTTGTTACCTTGCAGTATTTTTTCCTGGAAACTCTAATAAACTTGAAGGAATGGACCATAAAGTAAAGATCATTTCTTTAACTTCTACTAAGCATTCTGGGGAAACCTATGCTTTGATTCAGTAGGTCATTCTGACATCTCACTTTCCCTGATGATTCACAACTTTAAATTTTTTCTTTCAGAGAATGTATTTATTGTTGTACCTTAAAGGTGGCTACTGGAACATACCACACTTCTAGCTGTGTACTCAGACCTTCTGCCTAAATTACATAAGTGTAAATACAGTAAGGTGTCAGTGGAAGAAAATTACAAACGTCCTTTTTGAAGAGTTGGATGTTCCAATTTGAAGGAGTGGGACAGGGTTTGAGCATCCTTAAGGAAGAGATACTGTACTTATGACTGCCGTGTTAAGTACTGAGCTATTAATGTATGTGTTAGTATCACTGAATGATCTTCAAATAGCTCAGCTAGGGCAGGGTTCAGCATTATGTGGAACTTGCAGTGATGTTTATGGTGCTGCAGAGAGGACTTTGCTTGTAAGCTACGTGGTCCCTTTCACAGCAGGAAATGATTTATTAAAGTACTTTCCCTAAACATTGTTTACACACTGAATAAAATGGGCTTTTATTCCAGTTTAAAAATTTGCGAGTAGCAGTCCTAACATCCCCTACTAATGCTGAAATGCATAGCTATTTCTTAAGGCATTAGGCTTGAGAGGGTTTGGAGTGCCAAAAGGCAAGCATGAGTAAAATTGGCAACTGAAAAAGCTAAGAGTAGCAACCATCCTAGTGCTTGTGTTGCTATCTGGAATCTCTTGTGTTTGGGATTAAGTTTACAATCATTTTCCCAGTCAGAACGCAGGGTCTAATATCCCCTTGGGTGATCCTAGCTGTTGGACTGCTCCTTTGCAGAGCAAGCTGAGATTGGTGATGATGGACTATGGTCATTGACCCTTCTGGGCTAGGTATGAGGTGCTGCCACTTCAGAGCCATTGAGAGAGACTTGTGTTTTCTGTTTGGATCTTCTGAAATTATGTGTATGAAAAAATACCAGCTTTAGGTAGTGTAGTCTTAATTCCCTTTTACACCACCACCCCCCCAAAAAAAATCTAAACCCAAAACCTACTTATTTACTATGTGCATTCTTTCAGCTATTGCTGGGAATTGTTTCTTTGAGAACTGTTTTATTGGGTCTTCCATTAGCCATTTCTGACAACCTCCAAGCATTTATTTAAACCCAGCAGAAATAACATTTGAGGTCTTATTTTAAGCTGATTATTACCTGGCTTCCTAGACATCAAATTCTGTTACAGATAGCACTTGCATCCTCTGTTGTGCAGCACATCTATGTTGTCTAGCACTAGCATGACAATATCTTTACAGAAAAAACCACTATTATAAGCTATTAAGTTGAGACCTCAGATGATATCCTGTATTCCACTTCAGTAAATTGTGATTTAGAGGATGACAATCACGTGAAAATCAGATTCTCATACTAATATAACAGCACAAATTTAAAATTAGAGTGACTTCTCTCAGCTTGCTTAATATGAAACATTTGTGACTGTTCTTCTGTTATTAGACATCTCGTATTTCTGTCTTTTTCTGTCTAAATGGATGTTACGTTCATAGTTTATTTTATGTCTAAGATTTTTAAGTGATGCTGGCACTTGCCTTTTTATATCATTAGGTGATGGTATAATAGCGTTTCTGAGAAAATAATAAATGTATTTGCTAATCCGCTGTGTGTGGGCACATATACATCAAGCAGAATGTGTATGTAAAACTAAACAGGCTCAAAAGTAATTTGGTATCAAATTACATAGGAAACCACTTTTCTCCCCTTACTGTAGTAGCTTCTTAACACTTTATAATTAGCTAAAATGTATTTCTTAAACTTTGAGCTGTTATTAGAGATACTAATTTCAATAGATCAGGGGAACCAAAATAGCGTAAAGATTTTTTTCCTTTTACTGTCACAGTGGTTCTACCCACCAGCACACAGTTTGAAATTAGCACTTCTGTATTCCACCCGCAGCTCATCCCTCGCCCAGGGCCAGTGCAGCGCCTGCTTTGCTCTTTGCTTAACCACGGGTGTTGTTCATGGCCCTGTGTTTGAGACTGTCTTGGCTGCAGAAGCTGAATATTTGTTTTCAGATTGTGTTTGTTTTCAGACAGTTACTTTGTTTTTCTCTATTTAAAAAAAAATATGCATGGCTGAACTTTGATCTCACTTGACAGTGAAGTAGAGATTTTTCCATAAGGAATAAAGGCTCCCCAGATACTTTCTTCAGAGGTTTATGCTTTTATAATAGCAAACTTTTCAGCTGCCACTGTCCCCGCTGACTACATCCACGCAGACCCAGCCTATAGGGATAACTAAGTTACTTTGAAATGCATGCTGAATTATGAAAAACCCTAACTGCCATTTGTCTTTTAAGATTGTGGCATCGGCGAAGTATCTTGGTGTCTTTTTTACTGACGCTTGCAGTGCTTACAGCTACGTATTACATTGAAGGAACGCATCAACAGGTACGAGGTTTTCAAGTTACTTCCCTTAGTGACTAATAACTTCTTGTCCCCGTGCTGAGGTAGATGTGCTGGGAATTGAATGGGGTCTTCATGAACTTGTAATGTATCTTTTGAACTCCTACTCACTAAGGATATTTGTTTTTTATGTCATGACTCTTCTCTGTTATGTGTGGATGAGTTGAGTTTCAAGAGATGCGGAACGATCAGCTGTATCATTTATTCTGTTGCATCTGTAGGTGTTCCACTTCTCATCTGTTCCTGAATAAGCACACCTCCGATGCTGCAGCACTCCTTCGCATCTGCTGTTAACAAGCTTTTAATAGTGGTGTGAGCTTTTGAGATGAGAGATATTTAAACTGAGTCATGATAGAACTTTGTGGTTCCCAAGAAATGTTTCTTCTGCTGTGGAAGGGTGTCCTGACCCCTATCCTAAGCTAGGATAGACGTATATCTAGACATAAAATGGTTTGATGGTTCAAATCTGGTTCTGTGATGCTTCTTCTACCTCCATTGTTTTAAAATTACTGTTTTAAAAAGTTTTTTATGCTTTGGAGTACATAAAGACTGATGCTTTTACATCACTTGAAGTGTAAGCCATTGCTTAAGCATAAGGTGATGGTGTTGTCTACATCTTTCCCCTCCCCATTTCTCCTTGAGTTTCAGACTTTCCCTGAGGGCAGACAGCCCTTCTAAACCCTGCAGAGCATTTCCTTGTGCAACTGAATCATCTTACCACTCTGACTCTGAAATCAGCAGGTTCACTGTTTCAGAGAACTTGCTTACATCCATACTGCTATGGTGTGTCACTGGCTGCCTGAGGCACATGCAGGTCTGGAACAGGAGTCCTGGCTTCCCAGGACGGGGTCTTGAAATGCAGTGAAATGAGTTGCTTCAGCTCATCGCATTCTCGCTCACTCAGTCCCATGCTTGAGACCTAAGCACTTACATGCAGAGCCAGTTGGTAGATGATAAATTGGTGGCTTGTTCCCAATGGACAAATACCTGCTTCATTAAAAACTGCCCTGGTCGGTGGCCTTCTCAGCATGAAGGCCAGAGCGTGATCCACTCAACGTTTGCCACTAGATGGCTCTTGCAAACTGGTGTTGAGGCGCGTGGCACCTGAGCTGGCTGCTGGGCCTGCACAGTGCCAAGCCTTGGCAGAGCAGTGCTGCTGGAGAGGTTTCCTTGAGCCTGCTGGGAACAAACCTGTGCCCCTGGGACTGGCGAGGGGAGGGTGACCTGCAGGGTCCAGCCAATGCTTAGACCTCTCTGTTCTGGGGGGTCTCAGTCCTGCGTGCCAGCAGGTATTTGTCCATCCCCCTTCCTCTAGAGTTCCTTCCCTACAGTCTGTGTCCTGCTAGTGCCTCTCTCTACGTCTGTGTACATCAATGTATACTTGAATTCATGAGCCACTTTCTTCCAAAAGCACACTTAGAATAATGAAATATATTTGTGATTTTTCACTTGCCATTTTCAGGACTTTTTACACCCTGGCAGGTTGAAGCTGCCCAGAGAGGTGATGGAGTCACTATCCTTGGAGGTGTTCAAAAAATGCATAGATGTGGCATTTTGGGACATGGTTTAGTAGGCGTAGTGCTATTGGGTTGATGGTTGGACTTGATGATCTTGGAGGACTTTTCCAACCTTAATGATTCTGTGAAGCCTGGTTAAGACTGGTAAACTTCATTTTGGTGCTGTTGGTCCATGGATGATATAAAATGGCACCTCTTCTTGGGGCTGTGGTACAGACAAGTTGATGGCCTGGCTCGTCCTTTTAGAATTGCTCTCATGGTAGTGAGAGGGAAATACTGCTTCCCATTTCTCCAGTGTACCCAACTGGACTTTTTATGTCCAGAATTTGCTGTGACTTTCTTGTATCGCCTCACTTATGTGTGCAACACACAACCAACATTTTAATCTTTTCTTAAAAGTAACAAACCTGGTTACTCGCTGGTCCAAGATAAAACATTCAACAGACTAACTAAGAGTGCAGCTAATTCTAGTCTTTTATTTAATCTGTTTGGGCAATTCCCTAAGCTGTCTGCTCGCTGCTTGGGCTCCTTAGACACTGGGGCTTGCTGCTTGCTGCTCACACCTAGTATGCCTGTTTTGGATTTCAACCCCCTACTATCGAACCTGAATTTTTCATCTGTCTCCTCGGAAACTTGCTGATTCCAAGGCGCGTGGGTTTTTCTTTTGAAAGTGCGCTATTTTCTGTACGTGTCTGTGCTGTAATTGTAATAAATTGCAAATAGAAGTATCTAGGATTCTATTTCAGTTATTATAATCCAGATAACTATCTGTGTTAGTTTGTAGCTTTAACTTTCTCCCCTAGGAGATATCACCATTCTTGTTTGTTTTTCTCTTTTGTGACTTTTCTTTTTCAGTATGTGCGGTATATGGAGAAAAAGTTCTTCTGGTGTGCCTACTGGGTAGGATTAGGCATTCTGTCCTCTGTTGGACTTGGAACAGGTCTCCACACCTTTCTGCTCTATTTGGTAAGGATATTTCTATACTGTGTTCTTTCTCAATCAAGTATTTTAATTGTTGCATATTTTTTAATACGTGAATAAGAAATATTTCCTAAGTCCTAAACGTTAAGTACTTCTGAAGGAAAAGAAATAGTGTAATGCTCCTGGGCTCTAGTGAATGCTATTCATATTCTATACTGTCTAACTTTGTTTTGTAGTTTGTATGCTCTGTGTTTGTTGAACTGTAGATATTAGCCTGCTGTTAATCCTCATATTGAAACAATGAGTCAAAATCTGCAAGCTCTGTCCTCTAATTTCCTAATTTAAATGAAACATTTTGTAGTGTGTGCAACTCCAATGTTTCCATTTAAAATTTGTCAGCATACTCTCTGTTTTAGTAGCTTAAAACGATCATTTTTCTAGTTGAAACTGCTGAAATAGGCAGCTATTTTAAAGTTCAGTCTGTAGTAATTTTGCTTTGAAAATAATAGCATGAAAAATGTTTGTCTACAAAGATAAAATAGTATCTGTTCTGAAAATATGTATGATGTTGTTTATCTCAACTTAGCTAGGAAAGGCAGGGAAATGGTTGGGTGTGTTTTGCTTTTGGCCATTGGATTAGTTCCTTAATGTTTATGAAACCACTGTCCTGGATTTAAGAAAAGGCTTTATGGCCACAAAATAATTAAAACCAGTTTATGCAACCGATGTCATCTTGTATTTGGAGCAATTACAGATGTTTACTTTCAGAACTGCTTTAATCATTAGCAATAACACAGAAAACACTACAAGAAACAAGAAACTCGTGCTTTTCCGCACAGCAGGGCAATGCCTGCTAGATCAAATGGCATCTGCATGGGCTGCCTTTGCAGTAGTCTTGGACTCACGCTTGGTGCAGCGTCTCTCCTGAAGATGGGAGGCAGAAAGTACAGGAGAAAGGAAACTATTGCTAAACAGGAACAAGTTTATGCATGCATAGCCTTCTAGGCGAAAATATTGCTGTCAGGCTAAATGATTGGAAATGGAAATTCAGTACAGCTGATGAACACAGTGTCTAAACATTTTTATGTAACACTGGATAGTGCTTAGACAGCAGTGGGTTGACAATGTACAGATCTTTCTGACTTGCAGAGACGATGCTGTAAATAGCTTAGGGACAGTAAGACGCATGGGAAAATCGGAGGGAGAGTCAATCAAAATCATCGGTCCCAAACCGAGGTGCTCTGCCTTGCCGGAGAGGCAAACCAGCATCCAGTGATGTGTGAGGTGGAGTCAAGCTCGCAAGCTCAGCTCCCTTTGGGTTCTCTGCCAGCCTGCGATGGGAGTGAAAACGCAGCAGGATGGGATCACCAGCTCTGCAGCGGGACAGAGGGAGGAAGGGAAAGGAAAGCAATTCCAGGTTTGCTGCAGAAATCAGTTAGTCATGATTTAAATCAGCAAGTAGGAAACAATTTCAATGATAGATTTAAATCTTGTTCTGCTTTTTATATATTTTCTTAGGCTGCCAACCACTGAGAGTCCACTTAAGATTTCTTCTAACCAAAGATTTCATATAGTTAGACATTCTCTTTGAGCAGTTTGGAGAGCTTATCGTACAGTTCCTATTCTTAATTTTTACACGTTGTGTCAGAAATCTAGTAAATAAGAGAAGTTATGCACCATTTCTAAACTCTATTTGAAAGTGGGTAGTGTTTCTTTGCTGTATGTTGATCTGACACAGGGTAGCAGGAGTGCTGCTGTTTTATACCCCCACTATAGGGGGGTATAAAATATAGGCCTATATATTTATAGGCCACTCCAAGATGGTTTTGTCACATAAAGAAGTCTTTGTAAGACAGCACTGCTTTTTTTCTAAAAGAAGGTGGAATAAATTGAGCTTTCTTTTACTCTGTATTTAAAAATCCAGATGTTTAAGTAGTTCTGAACTACTTTAATACAAAACCCCCTAAATTTCATAACATATCACTTAAGTTTTCCTGTGGGATATGTGAACCCAGTGGATATATTTAGGCCGTGGCCCGAGTTGACATTAAAGTAACATATATAAAAAATATAACTTCTCTATTGGCTTATCAGTGTAATTTATGATGGGCGTGTAGGAGGTGAACAGCCTTCCAAAGATTACAGGGAGGTGCATCACCTAGGAAAAGAAATTTAGTTTAATGTTAGTGAAGGTATTTATTGCAGACGTAATGAAGGTATTTATTTGGAATGTAAGAGGCAAAGTTTCACGTAACTTTGTTAGAAGCGGACAGACAGACAAAATAGATTGCACTGAATAATTAGAAGGTGGTTATAGAATAAAATGTAATCAAACTGTACCATCAACATCTAATGTGTAACAATACAGGAGAAATACTTAGAATCATAGCATCACTTTGGTTGGAAAGGACCTTTAGGATCATCGAGTCCAACCTTTAACCTAACCCTGCCATCCCACCACTAAACCCTGGCCCTAAGCACCTCATCGATCCTTCTTTTAAATCCCTCCAGGGATGAGGACTCTACCACCTCCCTGGGCAGCCCATTCCAGAGCCTGACAGCCCTTTCAGTGAAGAAGTTTTTCCTGCTGTCTAGCCTATACCTGCCCTGGCGCAACTTCATACTTGTTTGCTTTAAATATGTAAGGCAGAAAAGCATGTTTCTGTTACACAGAGGGAATTCCATAAAGGCAGTGAGTGTAGGAGGAAAGAAAAGCAAAGATCCATTTTTTTTCTTTTCTCCTGTGCAAGATTTAGTCGTTAGCATGACTGTAAATTTAGGACAATTGCACTTTCTCGGCACCAAACACTTGCCTGAACCCTGAATTGTTCAGAATTTAGTGGCATGTATCTGGCCTTGTAGCCACTAGATGGCAGTGGGAGTGTAAAAACCCAAGTTCATTGCCCGAACAGTGTGTTGCCATTTTAAGTACCTGAACTGTTAATATTCTTGTCAATACCGCTCTGTCAGCAATATCTATATGCCATCTGCTATCAGTGTAGAAATACACTCCTTAATATCTCCTCGGTTTGAGCCTACACCTTGTGCGAAAGGGAACACAGTACTAACTTCAGACTGTTGGTACAACTTTTAAGGGTAAATGATTTCAGAAGAGTATTCTGAATTTAACCCCTCTGCAAACAATGCCATTAGGAGCTCTAGCTTTCAAAAGGAGGAGTTTGAAACTAATTTGCTTTGTTAGTGATGCAGCGGTTGCCTCTAAAAGTAGAAATGCAAGTTAAGCGGAGAACTCGCTATATTAACTTTTACGTTACTGTGTATCTACTTTTCATGTTCCATATACTTTAATTACATTTCTTCCTTATGGTAAAACTTATTCTTCTATTGATTCAAAGAAAAGAAAAGTTACAAAACAGCAAACCCGCTTCTGCTTTAGTGCCTGGATTTGCTGGCAGTAGAGAATAGACTCAGTAAGTGTTTTAAAATTGCTTTTAATTAATTGCTCATTTTAAGTCTGTATGTACAGTGAGATTGTTGGGAATGCAATTACATGCCTAGAGAACAATGCACTCGGGCCCACCCATGTGCTGCTGGGCTCTTGCTGCTGCTTGCAGTGTTGTCTCTGCCATGAAGGGCCCACGGGCAGGAATCGATGGCACGGAGGCACCTGCTCAGACAGCGCGCCTGAACGTCCTCCCCTGTGACGCAGGTGCATCTTTTTTTAAATGCAGCCCTCCATTTACCGCATCCAGCTATTTTCACATCAAGCTGTTCATAAGCACGGGCTGTTAGCTGGGAAAATCATAGCGGTAGTTGCGCAATAGATGCAGTATATGAATGACTCTGGATGTTTGCTTTCCCTGGCCTGGTTAGCTGTTTTTCCAGTGTTTAAAACTGTCATTTGTCTGGATTCTTCGGAGTATCTCTCACCAGCTGCTTTTTGGAGCAGCACGAATGCAAGTGCCAGGAGAGATCCTGAGGTTAGCTGAGAAGAGAGTGCTTGGAAACAATTTGCTTAAAGTGGATTTTAGAATCTAAAGCAGTCTCAGTCTGGGGGGGAAGTTACTGCCCCTGGTTAATATCAGTTCACATCTGATTAGGATTTTGTTGGTCACCAGCACATTCTTGCTGCGAACATGTCTGTCTAGGAGAGAGAGGCTTTTTATTGCTATTTCTGTGATTGAAGAGCTTTCTCTGTATTGTAAAGGGTCTGAGTGTTGTCTGCTGCATTCGTTCCTAGTTTAATGCTGCTTCCTTAGCTGTAGCCAGCAGTAAATGTAAAATTTGACATGGCTTTTTGGGAAACGAGTCTCGTGCTACAACTTGGCACTGAGCTACGGGCTGGCACCGAGCAGATCTTCAATGCAGAAATAGGGAAGCAGGCCACTCTTCCAAGAATCCTTTTTATTCTGACACTTTCAAAACAAGTCTGCTGGCTTATTTTCCCAAAGTCCATTAAAGGTTTTTCACAATTCTTTAAAAACAATGCTTTAAAAATAGTCATCGTGATGTGGTCCTGTAGGAAATAAAACTATTACGATTAACGACTCTCAATACCGTTTTTAGCCGCACACAGCTTTTTCTCTCAGTCCCGAGACGTTTTCTCTTCTATTGGTGGTATATTAAAATATAAATGGCATGAATCACCTAATTACCAAAAGAAGATGACTGAGGGTAACTCGTCAGGAATTTCTTGCGTTTGTACATCTTGGAGAGGTCTGTTCGCTGCCTGCCGCAAAATGAAACGAATGAGCTGCCGGAGGGCAGCGGGCCCGGGGGAGCGGGGGACGCTAGGTGGAGCGCTGGGATGGGACCGCGCTGCCATTGCCATCTTCACGCAGCGCTCTGCCTCGTGATTTGGTTTCAGTTCAGCTCTGGCAAATGGATTGCAAAAGATGCGGCCGAGGCATACAAAATCAGCTTAGAATTAATGCCTATCGAAAAGCCTTGCGCGAGAAGCAGATGATAAATGTCCCTTCTGTGTACGGTCTCTTATGATCTGTGGCGGTGGGGGATGAATGGAAGCAAATTCCTTACAGGTCAAGCGCAGAGGGAGCTTTGGCTCTTCACATTTGTTTGTGTTT